GAACTGAACTAGAACTGAACTAGAACTGAACTAGAACTGAACTAGAACTGAACTAGAACTGAACTAGAACTGAACTAGAACTAGAACTGAACTAGAACTGAACTAGAACTGAACTAGAACTGAACTAGAACTGAACTAGAACTGAACTAGAACTGAACTAGAACTGAACTAGAACTGAACTAGAACTGAACTAGAACTGAACTAGAACTGAACTAAACTGAACTAGAACTGAACTAGAACTGAACTAGAACTGAACTAGAACTGAACTAGAACTGAACTAGAACTGAACTAGAACTGAACTAGAACTGAACTAGAACTAGAACTGAACTAGAACTGAACTAGAACTGAACTAGAACTGAATAGAACTGAACTAGAACTGAACTAGAATTGAATTAGAGCTGAACTAGAACTGAACTAGAACTGAACTAGAACTGAACTAGAACTGAACTAGAACTGAACTAGAACTGAACTAGAACTGAACTAGAACTGAACTAGAACTGAACTAGAACTGAACTAGAACTGAACTAGAACTGAACTGAACTAGAACTGAACTAGAACTGAACTAGAACTGAACTAGAACTGAACTAGAACTGAACTAGAACTGAACTAGAACTGAACTAGAACTGAACTAGAACTGAACTAGAAACTGAACTAGAACTGAACTGAACTAGAACTGAACTAGAACTGAACTAGAACTGAACTAGAACTGAACTAGAACTAGAACTGAACTAGAACTGAACTAGAACTGAACTAGAACTGAACTAGAACTGAACTAGAACTGAACTAGAACTGAACTAGAACTGAACTAGAACTGAACTAGAACTGAACTAGAACTGAACTAGAACTGAACTAGAACTGAACTAGAACTGAACTAGAACTGAACTAGAATTGAACTAGAACTGAACTAGAACTGAACTAGAACTGAACTAGAACTGAACTAGAACTGAACTAGAACTGAACTAGAACTGAACTGAACTAGAACTGAACTAGAACTGACTAGAACTGAACTAGAACTGAACTAGAACTGAACTAGAACTGAACTAGAACTGAACTAGAACTGAACTAGAACTGAAATAGAACTGAACTAGAACTGAACTAGAACTGAATTAGAGCTGAACTAGAACTGAACTAGAACTGAACTAGAACTGAACTAGAACTGAACTAGAACTGAACTAGAACTGAACTAGAACGGAACTAGAACTGAACTAGAACTGAACTAGAACAGAACTAGAACAGAACTAGAACAGAACTAGAACAGAACTAGAACAGAACTAGACAGAACTAGAACAGAACTAGAACAGAAACTAGAACAGAACTAGAACACTAAAGAAACTAGAACAGAACTAGAACAGAACTAGAACAGAACTAGAACAGACTAGAACAGAACTAGAACAGAACTAGAACAGAACTAGAACAGAACTAGAACAGAACTAGAACAGAACTAGAACAGAACTAGAACAGAACTAGAACAGAACTAGAACAGAACTAGAACAGAACTAGACGAACTAGAACAGAACTAGAACAGAACTAGAACAGAACTAGAACAGAACTAGAACAGAACTAGAACAGAACTAGAACAGAACTAGAACAGAACTAGAACAGAACAGAACTAGAACAGAACTAGAACAGAACTAGAACAGAACTAGAACAGAACTAGAACAGAACTAGAACAGAACAGACTAGAACAGAACTAGAACAGAACTAGAACAGAACTAGAACAGAACTAGAAACAGAACTAGAACAGAACTAGAACAGAACTAGAACAGAACTAGAACAGAACTAGAACAGAACTAGAACAAACTAGAACAAACTGGAACAGAACAAGAATACTAGAACAGAACTAGAACAAACTAGAACAGAACTAGAACAGAACTAGAACAGAACTAGAACAGAACTAGAACAGAACTAGAACAGAACTAGAACAGAACTAGAACAAACTAGAACAGAACTAGAACATAACTAGAACAGAACTAGAACAGAACTAGAACAGAACTAGAACAGAAATAGAACAGAAATAGAACAGAACTAGAACAGAACTAGAACAGAACTAGAACAGACTAGAACAGAACTAGAACTGAACTAGAACTGAACTAGAACTGAACTAGAACTGAACTAGAACTGAACTAGAACTGAACTAGAACTGAACTAGAACTGAACTAGAACTGAACTAGAACTGAACTAGAACTGAACTAGAACTGAACTAGAACTGAACTAGAACTGAACTAGAACTGAACTAGAACTGAACTAGAACTGAACTAGAACTGAACTAGAACTGAACTAGAACTGAACTAAACTGAAACTGAACTAGAACTGAACTAGAACTGAACTAGAACTGAACTAGAACTGAACTAGAACTGAACTATAAACTGAACTAGAACTGAACTAGAACTGAACTAGAACTGAACTAGAATTGAACTAGAACTGAACTAGAACTGAACTAGAACTGAACTAGAACTGAACTAGAACTGAACTAGAACTGAACTAGAACTGACTGAACTAGAACTAGAACTGAACTAGAACTGAACTAGAACTGAACTAGAACTGAACTAGAACTGAACTAGAACTGAACTAGAACTGAACTAGAACTGAACTAGAACTGAACTAGAACTGAACTAGAACTGAACTAGAACTGAAATAGAAATGAACTAGAACTGAACTAGAACTGAATTAGAGCTGAACTAGAACGAACTAGAACTGAACTAGAACTGAACTAGAACTGAACTAGAACTGAACTAGAACTGAACTAGAACTGAACTAAACTGAAAGAACAGAACTAGAACAGAACTAGAACAGAACTAGAACAGAACTAGAACAGAACTAGAACAGAACTAGAACAGAACTAGAACAGAACTAGAACAGAACTAGAACAGAACTAGAACAGAACTAGAACAGAACTAGAACAGAACTAGAACAGAACTAGAACAGAACTAGAACAGAACTAGAACAGAACTAGAACAGAACTAGAAAAACTAGAACAGAACTAGAACAGAACTAGAACAGAACTAGAACAGAACTAGAACAGAACTAGAACAGAACTAGAACAGAACTAGAACAGAACTAGAACAGAACTAGAACAGAACTAGAACAGAACTAGAACAGAACTAGAACAGAACTAGAACAGAACTAGAACAGAACTAGAACAGAACTAGAACAGAACTAGAACAGAACTAGAACAGAACTAGAACAGAACTAGAACAGACTAGAACAGAACTAGAACAGAACAGAACTAGAACAGAACTAGAACAGAACTAGAACAGAACTAGAACAGAACTAGAACAGAACTAGAACAGAACTAGAACAGAACTAACAGAACAGAACTAGAACAGAACTAGAACAGAACTAGAACAGAACTAGAACAGAACTAGAACAGAACTAGAACAGAACTAGAACAGAACTAGAACAGAACTAGAACAGAACTAGAACAGAACTAGAACAAAACTAGAACAAACTGGAACAGAACTAGAATAGAACTAGAACAGAACTAGAACAGAACTAGAACAGAACTAGACAGAACTAGAACAGAACTAGAACAGAACTAGAACAGAACTAGAACAGAACTAGAACAGAACTAGAACAGACTAGAACAGAACTAGAACAGAACTAGAACAGAACTAGAACAGAACTAGAACAAACAGAACAGAAATAGAACAGAAATAGAACAGAACTAGAACAGAACTAGAACAGAACTAGAACAGAACTAGAACAGAACTAGAACTGAACCAGACTGAACTAGAACTGAACTAGAACTGAACTAGAACTGAACTAGAACTGAACTAGAACTGAACTAGAACTGAACTAGAACTGAACTAGAACTGAACTAGAACTGAACTAGAACTGAACTAGAACTGAACTAGAACTGAACTAGAACTGAACTAGAACTGACTAGAACTGAACTAGAACTGAACTAGAACTGAACTAGAACTGAACTAGAACTGAACTAGAACTGAACTAGAACTGAACTAGAACAGAACTAGACAGAACTAGAACAGAACTAGAACAGAACTAAACAGAACTAGAACAGAACTAGAACAGAACTAGAACAAAACTAGAACAGAACTAGAACAGAACTAGAACTGAAACTGACATACAATAAATTCTGAACTTAGAAGAGGTTTTTCAAAGTTTCACTTTTTACGACGCCCTTTTTCCTTCACTAAATAAAAACACCATTTATTTTTTAATATTTTTTGTTTATTTTTTTATATAATTTATTCATTTTATTTTTTGTATGTTTTTCTCTTGGTTTTATTAAAAATTACTGGCTCTTTCTTAAGTCTTCTCTAAAAAGAAAATAATAATAAACAATAAAATGTTTTTAAACATTTTACATGTTTAGTACTAAATCTTAAATTTAGCTTTACTATTTAAAAAAAAAGTACTTAATACACTTAATAATCAATTTGTAATTAGTACTAAAGGCTAATTTCAAATAAAATAAAAATAATAATAGTAATTTAATAATTCTGGTATAATAAAAATTTACAATAATTTTTTTTATTACTTTTTTTAACAAAAAAAGGAAATTTTAAAAGAAAGTTTCTTGCAACAAAAAAATAATTATTAAAATATTCATTTTTATATAATTAATAAATTTACTTTAAAGCCTTAGGAAAAGGAAAATAAAATAATTCATTTAACAAAATTTAAATAAAAATTCAATTTCAAAATTTTTTTTAATTTTTTCGCATTTTTTTTTTTAATAAAAATAAAAACTTTAGAACTTGTTTTTGTTTTATAAAATATTAATTAATAATAATAAATGTTTAAAGATCAATATTTTACAGTTATTTTTTTTTTTTTGTTTTGTTGTTTTTTTTTCTTTTAAATTAAAACAAACTAATTTTAATTTATTGTTTTTAATTTCTATTAATTTGTAAGTTTAATTTTTTACTGGTTTTTTCTTTGCTCTTTCTTAGCTAATGATGTTTTTTCTAGTTCTCTTTTTTTCAGTAATTTTTTAAATTTTAAATTTACGTTTATTTGTGTAGTTTTTTTGTTTTTACTTTTTATTTTAAATAATAAGTTATTTAATTGTTTTTAGTATGCAGTTAGTTTTTGTTGAAATATTGCTGGTTTAAGAAAGAATTGTTATTAAGGTCAAGGTGGTAAGGAGGGGGTTAAGAGGGAGAGGGTCTTTGTAGGAAAGGAGTTTGATTATGAGAAGTTTTTGTTTGTGTTTTTTTTTTAATTAAATTGTGTAAATGAAGAATAAAAAATTTCTTTGTTATTTATATTTCAAATAAAGATTTTTAGCTTTCATTTAGATGCTGTTTGTTTTGTTGTTTTGTTTAGTAAAACTAAAACTATGATTTAGTCACTTTCATGAGGCATACATGCGATTGATATCGTGTTGATATTTATCTTGAATATCTTTGCGTTTTCAGTTTAAAGGCAGCGGTTACCAGACCCATATCGGGAGACCAAACTTCTTTGCACAATGTAATGGCGGCGGGGACTTCGTATTTTTGTAATTTGCCTAAACACAAAAAGGAAACAAATTAAACATCATTGTTGTTGGAAATAAATAGTTCAATTCTAGTTAAGTTCAAGTTGAGTTCTAGTTGAGTTCTAGTTGAGTTCTACTTGAGTTCTAGTTGAGTTCTAGTTGAGTTCTAGTTGAGTTCTAGTTGAGTTTTAGTTGAGTTTAGTTGAGTTTTAGTTGAGTTTTAGTTGAGTTCTAGTTGAGTTCTAGTTGAGTTTCTAGTGAGTTCTAGTTGAGTTTCTGGAGTCTAGTGAGTTCTAGTTGAGTTCTAGTTGAGTTCTAGTTGAGTTCTAGTTGAGTTATGAGTTCTAGTTGAGTTCTAGTTGAGTTCTAGTTGAGTTCTAGTTGAGTTCTAGTTGAGTTCTAGTTTGTTCTAGTTCGTTCTAGTTCTGTTCTAGTCTGTTCTAGTTCGTTCTAGTTGTTCTAGTTCTGTTCTAGTTCTGTTCTAGTTCTGTTCTAGTTCTGTTCTAGTTCTGTTCTAGTTCTGTTCTAGTTGTTCTAGTTCAGTTCTAGTTTGTCTAGTTCTGTTCTAGTTCTGTTCTAGTTCTGTTCTAGTTCTGTTCTAGTTCTGTTCTAGTTGTTCTAGTTCTGTTCTAGTTCTGTTCTGTTCTAGTTCTGTTCTAGTTCTGTTCTAGTTCTGTTCTAGTTCTGTTCTAGTTCTGTTCTAGTTCTGTTCTAGTTCGTTCTAGTTCTGTTCTAGTTCGTCTAGTTCTGTTCTAGTTCTGTTCTAGTTTGTTCTAGTCTGTTAGTTGTTCTAGTTCTGTTCTAGTTCTGTTCTAGTTCTGTTCTAGTTATGTTCTGTTCTAGTTCTGTTCTAGTTTGTTCTAGTTCTGTTCTAGTTTCGTTCTAGTTCTGTTCTAGTTCTGTTCTAGTTCTGTTCTAGTTGTTCTAGTTTGTTCTAGTTCTGTTCTAGTTCTGTTCTAGTTCTGTTCTAGTTCTGTTCTAGTTCTGTTCTGTTTGTTCTAGTTCTGTTCTAGTTCTGTTCTAGTTCTGTTCTAGTTCTGTTCTAGTTCTGTTCTAGTTCGTTCTAGTTCTGTTCTAGTTCTGTTCTAGTTCTGTTCTAGTTCTGTTCTAGTTCTGTTCTAGTTCTGTTCTAGTTCTGTTCTAGTTCTGTTCTAGTTCTGTTCTAGTTCTGTTCTAGTTCTGTTCTAGTTCTGTTCTAGTTCTGTTCTGTTCTGTTCTAGTTCTGTTCTAGTTCTGTTCTAGTTCTGTTCTAGTTCTGTTCTAGTTCTGTTCTAGTTCTGTTCTAGTTCTGTTCTAGTTCTGTTCTAGTTCTGTTCTAGTTCTGTTCTAGTTCTGTTCTAGTTTGTTCTAGTTCTGTTCTAGTTCTGTTCTAGTTCTGTTAGTTCGTTCTAGTTCTGTTCTAGTTCTGTTCTAGTTCTGTTCTAGTTCTGTTCTAGTTCTGTCTAGTTCTGTTCTAGTTCTGTTCTAGTTCTGTTCTAGTTCTGTTCTAGTTCTGTTCTAGTTCTGTTCTAGTTCAGTTCTAGTTTGTTCTAGTTCTGTTCTAGTTCTGTTCTAGTTCTGTTCTAGTTCTGTTCTAGTTCTGTTCTAGTTCTGTTCTAGTTCTGTTCTAGTTCTGTTCTAGTTCTGTTATTCTAGTTCTGTTCTAGTTCTGTTCTAGTTCTGTTCTAGTTCTGTTCTAGTTCTGTTCTAGTTCTGTTCTAGTTCTGTTCTAGTTCTGTTCTAGTTCTGTTCTAGTTCTGTTCTAGTTCTGTTCTAGTTCTGTTCTAGTTCTGTTCTAGTTCTGTTCTAGTTCGTTCTAGTTCTGTTCTAGTTCTGTTCTAGTTCTGTTCTAGTTCTGTTCTAGTTCTGTTCTAGTTCTGTTCTAGTCTGTTCTAGTTCTGTTCTAGTTCTGTTCTAGTTCTGTTCTAGTTCTGTTCTAGTTCTGTTCTAGTTCTGTTCTAGTTCTGTTCTAGTTCTGTTCTAGTTCTGTTCTAGTTCTGTTCTAGTTCGTTCTAGTTCTGTTCTAGTTCTGTTCTAGTTCTGTTCTAGTTCTGTTCTAGTTCAGTTCTAGTTCTGTTCTAGTTCTGTTCTAGTTCTGTTCTAGTTCTGTTCTAGTTCTGTTCTAGTTCTGTTCTAGTTCTGTTCTAGTTCTGTTCTAGTTCTGTTCTAGTTCTGTTCTAGTTCTGTTCTAGTTCTGTTCTAGTTCTGTTCTAGTTCTGTTTAGTTCGTTCTAGTTCTGTTCTAGTTCGTTCTAGTCTGTTCTAGTTCTGTTCTAGTTCTGTTCTAGTTCTGTTCTAGTTCTGTTCTAGTTCTAGTTCTGTTCTAGTTCTGTTTCTAGTTCTGTTCTAGTTCTGTTCTAGTTCTGTTCTAGTCTGTTCTAGTTTGTTCTAGTTCTGTTCTAGTCTGTTCTAGTTCGTTCTAGTTCTGTTCTAGTTCTGTTCTAGTTCTGTTCTAGTTCAGTTCTAGTTCTGTTCTAGTTCTGTTCTAGTTCTGTTCTAGTTCTGTTCTAGTTCTGTTCTAGTTCTGTTCTAGTTCTGTTCTAGTTCTGTTCTAGTCTGTTCTAGTTCTGTTCTAGTTCTGTTCTAGTTCTGTTCTAGTTCGTTCTTGTTCTGTTCTAGTTCTTTTCTAGTTCTGTTCTAGTTCTGTTCTAGTTCTGTTCTAGTTCTGTTCTAGTTCTGTTCTAGTTCTGTTCTAGTTCTGTTCTAGTTCTGTTCTAGTTCTGTTCTAGTTCTGTTCTAGTTCTGTTCTAGCTGTTAGTTCTGTTCTAGTTCTGTTCTAGTTCTGTTCTAGTTCTGTTCTAGTTCTGTTCTAGTTCTGTTCTAGTTCTGTTCTAGTTCTGTTCTAGTTCTGTTCTCTTCTGTTCTAGTTCTGTTCTAGTTCTGTTCTAGTTCTGTTCTAGTTCTGTTCTAGTTCTGTTCTAGTTCTGTTCTAGCTCTGTTCTAGTTCTGTTCTAGTTCTGTTCTAGTTCTGTTCTAGTTCTGTTCTAGTTCTGTTCTAGTTCTATTCTAGTTCTGTTCTAGTTCTGTTCTGTTCTAGTTCTGTTCTAGTTCTGTTCTAGTTCTGTCTATTTTTGTTCTAGTTATTTGAAATCAGTTTTACTTCAGTTCGAAAACCTACATTTTCTAGCATGTTCGGCCATTTCCTTAATGACCGCCTTTTCCATTACTGGATTAGAGCAGAGGTCTTCGAATGATTTGCTTTCCAAACCCTGACGTTGTGCTAATTCTTCCAAATGCTTTTGATTGGGCACCACCAAAGCTACAGTAAATTGTTTTGTAGGATCACCATAGACGCAAATATTTTCAATCAAGGGACAGGTCTTCAATTCAGATTCCACCTTGCCCAAGGAAACATATTCGCCAGCTTGCAATTTAACCAAATCCTTTTTACGATCTAAATGAGGATACAAAAATTGTTTCAAAACAATAATCTTAAAATTGTAAATAACAACAAAAGCTCTTACCAATGATTTTAAGTACGCCATCGGGATGCATTTCACCAATATCACCGGTTTTGAACCAGCGTTTGCCATCCTCTTCAAAGAATTCTTCAGCGGTTTTTGAGGGCAATTTATAATAGCCCAGGGAAACACATTCGCCACCAACAAGAACTTCACCCTGTAAAAGACAATATAAAATAAACGATGTTAATAAAATGCAATTAAAACTAAATAACTCTAAACGATTTTAATAAACACTTACTTGAGGATAGGGTTTATTGGTTATTCTATAGCCACCTTCTTCCCAATTGACTAAACGAATTTCGGAAACAGTTAAAGGAGCACCAACGCGTCCATACTGGGTATCACGGTCTAAAAATTTTAGGAAAATAAAAGTTTAATAAAAAAATTAAATTTTTTTTATAAAATAAAACTTACAATCCATAACAGTGGCACCGGAAGTAGTTTCAGTTAAGCCGTAACCTTGTATCAAATCCACACACAAACAGGTCTTAATTTGTTCGTGGGTATCGGGTGAGAGAGGAGCACCACCAGACATCATAATGCGAACACGACCACCCATAAGTTGGCAACCTTTTTGAAAACCATTCTGGAAAAAAAGAAAATAAATAATGAGATTAATAAGATATTTAGAAATACATTGAATAGAACTAGAATTGAACTAGAACTGAGCTAGAACTAAACTAGAACTGAACTAGAACTGAACTAGAACTGAACTAGAACTGAACTAGAACTGAACTAGAACTAGAACTGAACTAAACTGAACTAGAACTGAACTAGAACTGAACTAGAACTGAACTAGAACTGAACTAGAACTGAACTAGAACTGAACTAGAACTGAACTAGAACTGAACTAGAACTGAACTAGAACTGAACTAGAACTGAACTAGAACTGAACTAGAACTGAACTAGAACTGAACTAGAACTGAACTAGAACTGAACTAGAACTGAACTAGAACTGAACTAGAACTGAACTAGAACTGAACTAGAACTGAACTAGAACTGAACTAGAACTGAACTAGAACTGAACTAGAACTGAACTAGAACTGAACTAGAACTGAACTAGAACTGAACTAGAACTGAACTAGAACTGAACTAGAACTGAACTAGAACTGAACTAGAACTAGAACTGAACTAGAACTGAACTAGAACTGAACTAGAACTGAACTAGAACTGAAACTGAACTAGAACTGAACTAGAACTGAACTAGAACTGAACTAGAACTGAACTAGAACTGAACTAGAACTGAACTAGAACTGAACTAGAACTGAACTAGAACTGAACTAGAACTGAACCAGAACTGAACCAGAACTGAACTAGAACTGAACTAGAACTGAACTAGAACTGAACTAGAACTGAACTAGAACTGAACTAGAACTGAACTAGAACTGAACTAGAACTGAACTAGAACTGAACTAGAACTGAACTAGAACTGAACTAGAACTGAACTAGAACTGAACTAGAACTGAACTAGAACTGAACTAGAACTGAACTAGAACTGAACTAGAACTGAACTAGAACTGAACTAGAACTGAACTAGAACTGAACTAGAACTGAACTAGACTGAACTAGAACTGAACTAGAACTGAACTAGAACTGAACTAGAACTGAACTAGAACTGAACTAGAACTGAACTAGAACTGAACTAGAACTGAACTAGAACTGAACTAGAACTGAACTAGAACTGAACTAGAACTGAACTAGAACTGAACTAGAACTGAACTAGAACTGAACTAGAACTGAACTAGAACTGAACTAGAACTGAACTAGAACTGAACTAGAACTGAACTAGAACTGAACTAGAACTGAACTAGAACTGAACTAGAACTGAACTAGAACTGAACTAGAACTGAACTAGAACTGAACTAGAACTGAACTAGAACTGAACTAGAACTGAACTAGAACTGAACTAGAACTGAACTAGAACTGAACTAGAACTGAACTAGAACTGAACTAGAACTGAACTAGAACTGAACTAGAACTGAACTAGAACTGAACTAGAACTGAACTAGAACTGAACTAGAACTGAACTAGAACTGAACTAGAACTGAACTAGAACTGAACTAGAACTGAACTAGAACTGAACTAGAACTGAACTAGAACTGAACTAGAACTGAACTAGAACTGAACTAGAACTGAACTAGAACTAAACTGAACTAGAACTGAACTAGAACTGAACTAGAACTGAACTAGAACTGAACTAGAACTGAACTAGAACTGAACTAGAACTGAACTAGAACTGAACTAGAACTGAACTAGAACTGAACTAGAACTGAACTAGAACTGAACTAGAACTGAACTAGAACTGAACTAGAACTGAACTAGAACTGAACTAGAACTGAACTAGAACTGAACTAGAACTGAACTAGAACTGAATGAACAGAACTGAACTAGAACTGACTAGAACTGAACTAGAACTGAACTAACTGAACTAGAACTGACTAGAACTGAACTAGAACTGAACTAGAACTGAACTAGAACTGAACTAGAACTGAACTAGAACTGAACTAGAACTGAACTAGAACTGAACTAGAACTGAACTAGAACTGAACTAGAACTGACTAACTGACTACTGAACTAGAACTGAAATAGAACTGAACTAGAACTGAACTAGAACTGAAACTAGAACTGAACTAGAACTGAACTAGAACTGAACTAGAACTAGAACTGAACTAGAACTGAACTAGAACTAGAATCTAACTAGAACTAGAACTGAACTAGAACTGAACTAGAACTATATCTATAATTGATCTTGAACTGATCTATAACTAATCTAGAACTAATATAAAACTGAACCAGATCTGAACTATATCCGAACTAGATCGGATCTACAACAGATCTTGATTTCAAGTAAGAGGTATTAAAATTAATGTTTAAACTTACTTGTCAATTAAAGGTGTCTCATAACCTCTTTGGAACCATTTAACTTTGTATTGATATAAAAATTGGAATAGAGCTTTCTTAAAGGCCGAACCGGAATTGACTTTATCGTTAATACCCTTAGAGATACGATCCAAAATAAGCTGTAAAATAACAATAACAAAATGTTATTATTAAATTATTCACAAAATAAGTCCTAATTTCAAATACTAACCGGTACTGTGGTCATGCAAGTGGGTTTCAAAACAGTAGCATCACCTTTGCAGCCTCTCATGATCTTACTACTAGTATCGATTAAAGTCAAGGGGGTAGAATAACCAATGGGAACACCAGTCATTAGACAAACACTTTCGGCCACCAATTCAAAGACATGGGCCAAGGGAAGGAAGCTGTTAGAGGAAATAACAAAAACGTATAAGATCTGTTTAGTATATGATGAAAATCTATTTACTACCCTATTAAAACATCATCGGGATAGATGGGTACCACATCAACGAAACCTTTCATGGTGGCAATACAATTTTTGTGTGACAAACAGACACCTTTGGGTGTGCCAGTTGAGCCAGAAGTGTACATAATAATAGCAATATCATCACCCTTGGGAGGAACATTTTCTGCAAAAGGAAATTTTTAAATTTAATTCGAAATTTGTTTAAGAAGAGTTAAATAAGAGTTTACTTACCAAATTTACTATCTTGACCATTGCGTACGACCTCAGAGAAAGGCAAAATCTTAACACCTTCCTTAAAACCAGTAGTATCAGTTTTATGCAATTGATCTTCCATATAAATGATGGTATCAACCTGGGGACATTTATCCAACAAGACCTTAAACTTGGGCAACAAATCGTGAGAAGTAATGACAGTGGTAACTTCAGTTTCACTAATACAATGAGCCACACCCTCATCACCCAAAGTGGCATAGACGGTAACAATTGACATGGATTGTTTGAAACAACCATGAGCGGCAATCATCCATTCGGCACGTGTCTCGGCAAAGATAACAATATTTCTACGGGGTTCCTGACCACACTCACGCAGACCACGACCAAAAGCCGCTGCCATGCGTTCAGCCTCTATGAAATTCTTCCATTTGTATTCGCCCATATTGTATTTCTTGAAAACACGACCATTGGGCTGTAGCTCATCCTCCTCGCTGAGAATTTGACGAGTGCCCAGGCAACGTTTCGATGAATGAGTTTTAGCCACATAATTGAAAACCTTTTCGAGAGTATCTATGTTGTCCTGCAGCATTTTGATATGTGTCTCTCTGGGTGGTTCGGTTGTGCGATAATTTAGAGCCGCCTCATCATTGCTAACAATTTTTGCCTAAAAATTATCAATAATTAAAACAAATATTATTATTTTACAATTACTTTAAATAAATTAATAAAATTTAAACCCATAATTTAAAAAAAAAACACATTTAATTACAAATTTTTTTATTAAATTAATTAAAAATAAAAGTGTAAATTATAGTTTTTTTTGTTTGGAAAACTATAGAAGGTGTTTTTCCTTTTAAATTTCTTGCTTTAAAATAAAGGGAGCTTTCACCGTTTTGGGGTCTCTTTTTATAAATTTTTTTTGCCACCCCCTGTTATTCATATTAATAATGAGTGCTTTTTCTTTAAACTAAATTTTATACAAAGTTTTTGTTTTTATTATTATTTTTTTTAATAGAATAAAAGTAACCAACACCTTGTTAGTTTCCGCCATTTAAGGAAAAAACAAAGTTTTTATAGTAAAAATCAAGAAGTATTTTATATTATTTAGAGTAATGAAATCAAATACAACAATTTATATTTAAATTAACAAAACCTCTATATCATCCTCGTTATATTTAGATCTTTCCTCAATTGTGGCCTTATTAATGGGTAAAGCCTGTTTTAAATATATTAAAAAATATATTCATTTAGATAGAACGCAGAATTAATGGATTTTTTATTATAAAAGTTTTTTATAAATAATTAATAAATTTTAATTAAATTAAATTTAGCTAAATTAGTGTTTAGTTAAATAAATTTTTAAACCAATTCAACATTAAAATAGGGAGTTATCAATACTTACAGAACTAGAACAGAACTAGAACAGAACTAGAACAGAACTAGAACAGAACTAGAACAGAACTAGAACAGAACTAGAACAGAACTAGAACAGAACTAGAACAGAACTAGAACAGAACTAGAACAGAACTAGAACAGAACTAGAACAGAACTAGAACAGAACTAGAACAGAACTAGAACAGAACTAGAACAGAACTAGAACAGAACTAGAACAGAACAGAACAGAACTAGAACAGAACAGAACTAGAACAGACAGAACAGAACAGAACTAGAACAGAACTAGAACAGAACTAGAACAGAACTAGAACAGAACTAGAACAGAACTAGAACAGAACTAGAACAGAACTAGAACAGAACTAGAACAGAACTAGAACAGAACTAGAACAGAACTAGAACAGAACTAGAACAGAACTAGAACAGAACTAGAACAGAACTAGAACAGAACTAGAACAGAACTAGAACAGAACTAGAACTAGAACAGAACTAGAACAGAACTAGAACATAACTAGAACATGACTAGAACAGAACTAGAACAGAACTAGAACAGAACTAGAACATAACTAGAACATGACTAGACAGAACTAGAACAGAACTAGAACAGAACTAGAACAGAACTAGAACAGAACTAGAACAGAACTAGAACAGAACTAGAATAGAACTAGAACAGAACTAGAACAGAACTAGAACAGAACTAGAACAGAACTAGAACAGAACTAGAACAGAACTAGAACATAACTAGAACATGACTAGAACAGAACTAGAACAGAACTAGAACAGAACTAGAACAGAACTAGAACAGAACTAGAACATAACTAGAACATGACTAGAACAGAACTAGAACAGAACTAGAACAGAACTAGAACAGAACTAGAACAGAACTAGAACAGAACTAGAACAGAACTAGAACTGAACTAGAACAGAACTAGAACAGAACTAGAACAGAACTAGAACAGAACTAGAACGAACTTAGAACAGAACTAGAACAGAACTAGAACAGAACTAGAACATGAATAGAACTGAACTAGAACTGAACTAGAACTGAACTAGAACTGAACTAGAACTAGAACATAACTAGAACTAGAACAGAATTAGAACTAGAACAGAACTAGAACAGACTAGAACAGAACTAGAACAGAACTAGAACAGAACTAGAACAGAACTAGACAGAACTAGAACAGAACTAGAACAGAACTAGAACAGAACTAGAACAGAACTTAGAACAGAACTAGAACAGAACTAGAACAGAACTAGAACAGAGAACTAGAACAGAACTAGAACAGAACTAGAACAGAACTAGAACAGAACTAGAACAGAACTAGAACAGAACTAGAACAGAACTAGAACAGAACTAGAACAGAACTAGAACAGAACTAGACACAGAACTAGAACAGAACTAGAACAGAACTAGAACAGAACTAGAACAGAACTAGAACAGAACTTAGAACAGAACTAGAACAGAACTAGAACAGAACTAGAACAGAACTAGAACAGAAACAAGAACAGAACTAGAACAGAACTAGAACAGAACTAGAAACAGAACAGAAAAAACAGAACTAGAACAGAACAGAACAGAACAGAACAGAACAGAACTAGAAACAGAACAGAACTAGAACAGAACTAGAACAGAACTAGAACAGAACTAGAACAGAACTAGAACAGAACTAGAACAGAACTAGAACAGAACTAGAACAGAACTAGAACAGAACTAGAACAGAACTAGAACAGAACTAGAACAGAACTAGAACAGAACTAGAACAGAACTAGAACAGAATTAGAACAGAACTAGAACAGAACTAGAACAGAACTAGAACAGAACTAGAACAGAACTAGAACAGAACTAGAACAGAACTAGAACAGAACTAGAACAGAACTAGAACTAGAACAGAACTAGAACAGAACTAGAACAGAACTAGAACAGAACTAGAACAGAACTAGAACAGAACAGAACAGAACTAGAACAGAACTAAAACAGAACTAGAACAGAACTAGAACAGAACTAGAACAGAACTAGAACAGAACTAGAACAGAACTAGAACAGAACTAGAAACTAGAACAGAACTAGAACAGAACTAGAAACAGAACTAGAACAGAACTAGAACAGAACTAGAACAGAACTAGAACAGAACTAGAACAGAACTAGAACAGAACTAGAACAGAACTAGAACAGAACTAGAACAGAACTAGAACAGAACTAGAACAGAACTAGAACAGAACTAGAACAGAACTAGAACAGAACTAGAACAGAACTAGAACGAACTAAAACAGAACTAAAACAGAACTAGAACAGAACTAGAACAGAACAGAACTAGAACTGAACTAGAACTGAACTAGAACTAAACTAGAACTGAACTAGAACTGAACTAGAACTGAACTAGAACTGAACTAGAACTGAACTAGAACTCAACTAGAACTGAACTAGAACTGAACTAGAACTCAACTAGAACTCAACTAGAACTCAACTAGAACTGAACTAGAACTGAACTAGAACTGAACTAGAACTGAAATAGAACTGAAATATAACAGAAATAGAACGGAACTAGAAGGGAACTAGAAAAGAACTAGAACTGAACTAGAACTGAACTAGAACTGAACTCGAACTGAACTCGAACTAAACTAGAACTGAAATAGAACTGAAATAGAACTGAACTAGAACTGAACTAGAACTGAACTAGAACTGAACTAGAACTGAACTAGAACTGAACTAGAACTGAACTAGAACAGAACTAGAACAGAACTAAAACTGATTCAGAATTGATACCGAATTGAGCTTAGATTTATTGAGTACTTTTTTCATTATAATCATTTCAGAAAGAGTTCCTAATTGTCCACAAATAACACTTATGGCATCATGTATATTTTTATCTAAGAAATTTAATCTTTATTTCATTTCAAAGAAAACAACATATTTTTCCAATAAAACTTTATCGGACAAGCATGTGTTTTTCCCAAATTGTCAAATTTCTTATACACAAATGTACGCATAATAATAAAATTGAATTTTTAGAAACACAAAAAAAATGCAATTGATAAGAAGTTTTGATTATTAGAATCACACGATCGCAAGTTGGTGACAAAAATAAATAAAGACCTTGGCTAAATATAAATTTTTTGAAGTAGGTAAGGAAATTTTTGGACAAATAAGTCAATTTAGAAAGTAATAAAGTTTCAAATTTTATTAAATTTTTATAAGAAATTATATTTCAAAACAACATTGATTTTGTAATCATATGTTTATCGTGTTTACAATTCTTCTACTATATTATTAAGAAAACACAACCCACAAAAAACCTTCAATTACAATTTTTTTTCTTCATTATCAATATTTTTTTTATTGACCCAAACTATTTAATTTGAAAATTATCGATATGTTAGATATGTACGAAAGATATTGACAGAACAAATTAAGTACTTAACATGTTTTCACGCTAATTATTTGTTGTAAATATTAAAAGCAAAATAATTTTACACTGTACGACATATTTCGTTAAATGTGTATAGAGAAAACATTATAAAAATAAATATCACACCTACTTAGAGAAGATTAAATACAAAATTATAATTAAAAATTTAATTTTGTAATTTCCCCGCTATTTGAATTCAGTTGAGAAATCAGGGAGAAAGTAACAGCTCTCTCACTTCTGACTATTACTATACGACTTCCAAACCTTTCGGCTAGCAAAGATTAGTGGTAGCAAAGAGTTGTGTTTAGAGCTAACTACAAGAGTTTATTAGAGGTAAATTGGAAGAATAACAGTTTCAAATAGTTTTGGTTAAAATGAACATCAAAATAAAACGAATTTATTATCTGAACAATGTAAACAGAGAGAGACCTAGTAAACTCATTTAGCTTACACAACAGATAACATTTTTCTATTTTAATAAACAATATGTCGAGAAATTTAAAAATGTCACCTTGTTTGTAACTATAAAATAATAATAAAACTGACGAGCCATGGATAGGAATAACTAGATCCGATTCATAACTAGAACAGAACTAGAAGAGCACTAGAACAGAACTAGAAACAGAACTGGAACAGAACTGGAACAGAACTAGAACAGAACTAGAACAGAACTAGAACAGAACTAGAACTAGAACAGAACTAGAACAGAACTAGAACAGAACTAGAACAGAACTAGAACAGAACTAGAACAGAACTAGAACAGAACTAGAACAGAACTAGAAAAGAACTAGAACAGAACTAGAACAGAACTAGAACAGAACTAGAACAGAACTAGAACAGAGCTAGGAACAGAACTAGAACAGAACTAGAACAGAACTAGAACAGAACTAGAACAGAACTAGAACAGAACTAGAACAGAAACTAGAACAGAAACTAGAACAGAACTAGAACAGAACTAGAACAGAACTAGAACAGAACTAGAATAGAACTAGAACGAACTAGAACCGAACTAGAACAGAACTAGAACAGAACTAGAACAGAACTAGAACAGAACTAGAACAGAACTAGAACAGAACTAGAACAGAACTAGACAGAACTAGAACAGAACTAGAACAGAACTAGAACAGAACTAGAACAGAACTAGAACAGAACTAGAACAGAACTAGAACAGAACTAGAACAGAACTAGAACAGAACTAGAACAGAACTAGAACAGAACTAGAACAGAACTAGAACAGACTAGAACAGAACTAGAACAGAACTAGAACAGAACTAGAACAGAACTAGAACAGAACTAGAACAGAACTAGAACAGAACTAGAACTAGAACAGAACTAGAACAGAACTAGAACAGAACTAGAACAGAACTAGAACAGAACTAGAACAGAACTAGAACAGAACTAGAACAGAACTAGAACAGAACTAGAACAGAACTAGAACAGAACTAGAACAGAACTAGAACAGAACTAGAACAGAACTAGAACAGAACTAGAACAGAACTAGAACAGAACTAGAACAGAACTAGAACAGAACTAGAACAGAACTAGAACAGAACTAGAACAGAACTAGAACAGAACTAGAACAGAACTAGAACAGAACTAGAACAGAACTAGAACAGAACTAGAACAGAACTAGAACAGAACTAGAACAGAACTAGAACAGACTAGAACAGAACTAGAACAGCACTAGAACAGAACTAGAACAGAACTAGAACAGAACTAGAACAGAACTAGAAACAGAAACTAGAACAGAACTAGAAACAGAACTAGAACAGAAATAGAACAGAACTAGAACAGAACTAGAACAGAACTAGAAACAGAACTAGAACAGAACTAGAACAGAACTAGAACAGAACTAGAACAGAACTAGAACAGAACTAGAACAGACTAGAACAGAACTAGAACAGAACTAGAACAGAACTAGAACAGAACTAGAACAGAACTAGAACAGAACTAGAACAGAACTAGAACAGAACTAGAACAGAACTAGAACAGAACTAGAACAGACACTAGAACAGAACTAGAACAGAACTAGAACAGAACTAGAACAGAACTAGAACAGAACTAGAACAGAACTAGAACAGAACTAGAACAGAACTAGAACAGAACTAGAACAGAACTAGAACAGAACTAGAACAGAACTAGAACAGAACTAGAACAGAACTAGAACAGGAACTAGAACAGAACTAGAACAGAACTAGAACAGAACTAGAACAGAACTAGAACAGAACTAGAACAGAACTAGAACAGAACTAGAACAGAACTAGAACAGAACTAGAACAGAACTAGAACAGAACTAGAACAGAACTAGAACAGAACTAGAACAGAACTAGAACAGAACTAGAACAGAACTAGAACAGAACTAGAACAGAACTAGAACAGAACTAGAACAGAACTAGAACAGAACTAGAACAGAACAGAACTAGAACAGAACAGAACTAGAACAGAACAGAACAGAACAGAACAGAACAGAACAGAACAGAACAGAACAGAACTAGAACAGAACTAGAACAGAACTAGAACAGAACTAGAACAGAACTAGAACAGAACTAGAACAGAACTAGAACAGAACTAGAACAGAACTAGAACAGAACTAGAACAGAACTAGAACAGAACTAGAACAGAACTAGAACAGAACTAGAACAGAACTAGAACAGAACTAGAACAGAACTAGAACAGACTAGAACAGAACTAGAACAGAACAAGAACAGAACTAGAACAGAACTAGAACAGAACTAGAACAGAATTAGAACAGAACTAGAACAGAAACTAGAACAGAACTAGAACAGAACTAGAACAGAACTAGAACAGAACTAGAACAGAACTAGAACAGAACTAGAACAGAACTAGAAACGAACTAGAACAGAACTAGAACAGAACTAGAAAAGAACTAGAACAGAACTAGAACGAATTAGAACAGAACTAGAACAGAATTAGAACAGAATTAGAAAGAACTAGAACAGAACTCGAACAGAACTAGACAGAACTAGAAACAGAACTAGAACATAACTAGAACTCAACTAGAACTTAATAGAACTCAACTAGAACTCAACTAGAACTCGACTAGAACTCGACTAGAACTCAAACTCAATGAACTCAACTAGAACTCAACTAGAAACTCAACTAGAACTCAACTAGAACTCAACTAGAACTCAACTAGAACTCAACTAGAACTCAACTAGAACTCAACTAGAACTCAACTAGAACTCAATTAGAACTCAACAAGAACTCAACTAGAACTCAACTAGAACTCAACTAGAACTCAACTAGAACTCAACTAGAACTCAACAAGAACTCAACAAGAACTCAACTAGAACTCAACTAGAACTCAACTAGAACTCAAGTAGAACTCAACTAGAACTCAACTAGAACTCAACTAGAACTCAACTAGAACTCAACTAGAACTCAACTAGAACTCAACTAGAACTCAACTAGAACTCAACTAGAACTCAACTAGAACTCAACTAGAACTCAACTAGAACTCAACAAGAACTCAACTAGAACTCAACTAGAACTCAACTAGAACTTAACTAGAACTGAACTACAACTCTACTACAACTGAACTATAAGTGGACTAGATTCGAACTGATATAAAATTGACACACAATTTTCTTTATATTATTTTTTTAATTAACGCAATGATTATCAAAATTATATTTAGCGTAATTTCCATTTAACTTTATAATGAATAATTAATAAAAAAAATATTGCACAATATATGTTTTATGCATATTTTTTTTTTTAAATTCTTAAGAAATTATTAAAAACGTGTCTTTAGTCTTTTTTTTTAAATATATTTCCCTTTCTTTCTAATCGTAAGAAATATGAGTCAAAAACTATTTTTCGATACTGTTTACTTGCGTTATAAAAGAAAGTGAATTTTCTCATTTTAATTAAATTTTAATTTATATAAGAAAACAAACTGCATACTAACCTTAACACGTTTAGATTCTTGTCTTCGTTTCCAGGGTCTTTGTAAAACCAAATATACCGGTAAAGTGATTATATCACAGACAAATGCAATGGCCTTAATGGCCCCAATAGCGCTCTGTATCCAGAAGCTTTCCATTCTAGAAGAGAAAAGAAAATTGTTTAATAAAATAGTTTAAATTTAAAGAAAAAAAATTAATAACAAATTTAAACAAATAAAATAATTAATTATAAAATATTGTTGAAATCTTTTTAAAACTATAATTTATTTTAAAAACTATTACAACACTATAATTAGTTGAAAAAATTATAAATATTTCCAATTGTCTGATTTTGATTTATTTTCTATTCACCTGTTACTTAAACCCTTAACAAAACACTACTAAAAAATAACTGTTTAAACAATTTAAAATTTGTTAAAACATTTTATTTTAAAACTTTTTTAATCTAAATTACTCATATTTTTTTTAGAACTTTTGAGAGTAAAGTGTAGAAAATCAAATCAATTTAAAAGATTACAGTAGATAACGTGATATAGAGAGAGAGTGTGTGTGAGAAATGTGAACAAAAGATAATATGTTCACTTCAAATAAAACTTTTGTTGTAAAATAATCGTCATAATAAAATGATTTTCTTATCAGTCACAGCGAAAAAAACAAAAATAAATGATTAAAAATTCACAGAAATTTTAAATGTAATTTTTATTGTTTTTCAATATTTGTTGACAATTTGAAAAATGAGCGTGTTTTTAGCTCTCATTTAATGGGAGCGAATTTAAATTTTTTGTGATTTACAACTTTTTTTTAAATACTTGCTAATTAATTTTTATTGTAATTATACTAGTGATAATGTTATGAGTACCAACTACATTTAGTTTTTGTATTATGAATGAACTTTGTTCAAAATGAGATGATTTATTTTATAATTTTTTGCGTTTTTTTTTTTTTTTATTCCAAAAGATTTCAAAACATGCACTTTTATTAAGACCTTTTAACTTTGTACTTTAACTGTTTAAGGTTTTATGTCAAAACATTTTTTATTTCAAATGTCAAAATGTCATAAAAATGTTAAGAAATCAGTTTATAATAGTAAAAGTAGGTCAAAATAGATTTTAAAATACAATTTGAAAAAAAAATATAGTAGTCTATAGTCTGGACTATAGTTTAGTCTATAATCTGGACTATAGTTTAGTCTATAATCTGGACTATAGTTTAGTCTATAGTCTGGACTATAGTTTAGTCTATAGTCTGGACTATAGTCTAGTCTATAGTCTGGACTATAGTCTAGTCTATAGTCTGGACTATAGTCTAGTCTATAGTCTGGACTATAGTCTATAGTCTGGACTATAGGTCTAGTCTATAGTCTGGACTATAGTCTAGTCTATAGTCTGGACTATAGTCTATAGTCTGGACTATAGTCTAGTCTATAGTCTGGACTATAGTCTAGTCTATAGTCTGGGGCTATAGTCTAGTCTATCGTCTGGACTATAGTCTAGTCTATAGTCTGGACTATAGTCTAGTCTATAGTCTGGACTATAGTTTAGTCTATAGTCTGGACTATAGTCTAGTCTATAGTCTGGACTATAGTCTAGCTATAGTCTGGACTATAGTCTAGTATATAGTCTGGACTATAGTCTAGTCTATAGTCTGGACTATAGTCTAGTCTATAGTCTGGACTATAGTCTATAGTCTGGACTATAGTCTAGTCTATAGTCTGGACTATAGTCTTGTCTATAGTCTGGGCTATAGTCTATTCTATAGTCTGGACTATAGTCTATTCTATAGTCTGGACTATAGTCTATTCTATAGTCTGGACTATAGTCTAGTCTATAGTCTGGACTATAGTCTAGTCTATAGTCTGGACTATAGTCTAGTCTATAGTCTGGATATAGTCTAGTCTATAGTCTGGACTATAGTCTAGTCTATAGTCTGGACTATCATCTACTCTATAGTCTGGACTATCATCTACTCTATAGTCTGAACTATCATCTAGTCTATAGTCTGGACTATAGTCTAGTCTATAGTCTGGACTATAGTCTAGTCTATAGTCTGGACTATAGTCTAGTCTATAGTCTGGACTATAGTCTAGTCTATAGTCTGGACTATAGTCTAGTCTATAGTCTGGACTATAGTCTAGTCTATAGTCTGGACTATAGTCTAGTCTATAGTCTGGACTATAGTCTAGTCTATAGTCTGGACTATAGTCTAGTCTATAGTCTGGACAATAGTCTAGTCTATAGTCTGGACACTAGACTCGACTATAGGCTGGACAATAGACTCGACTATAGTGTGGACTATAGACTCGACTATAGTCTGGACTATAGACTCGACTATAGTCTGGACTATAGACTGGACTATAGACTCGACTATAGTCTGGACTATAGACTTGACTATAGTCTTGGACTATAGACTTGACTATAGTCTGGACTACAGCCTGGACTATAGTCTGGTCTATAGACTCGACTATAGTCTGGTCTATAGACTCGACTATAGTCTGGTCTAATAGACTCGACTATAGTCTAGTCTATAGACTCGACTATAGTCTAGTCTATAGACTCGACTATAGTCCTGGTCTATAGACTCGACTATAGTCTGGTCTATAGACTCGACGTAGTCTGGTCTATAGACTCGACTATAGTCTAGTCTATAGACTCGACTATAGTCTGGTCTACTCCTATAGTCTGGTCTATAGACTCGACTATAGTCTGGTCTATAGACTCGACTAGTCTGGTCTATAGACTCGACTATAGTCTGGTCTATAGACTCGACTATAGTCCTGGTCTATAGACTCGACTATAGTCTGGTCTATAGACTCGACTATAGTCTGGTCTATAGACTCGACTATAGTCTGGTCTATAGACTCGACTATAGTCTGGTCTAATAGACTCGACTATGTCTGGCTATAGACTCGACTATAGTCTGGTCTATAGACTCGACTATAGTCTGGTCTATAGACTCGACTATAGTCTGGTCTATAGACTCGACTATAGTCTGGTCTATAGACTCGACTATAGTCTGGTCTATAGACTCGACTATAGTCTGGTCTATAGACTCGACTATAGTCTGGTCTATAGACTCGACTATAGTCTGGTCTATAGACTCGACTATAGTCTGGTCTATAGACTCGACTATAGTCTTTCTATAGACTCGACTACAGTCTGGTCTATAGACTCGACTAGTCTGGTCTATAGACTCGACTATAGTCTGGTCTATAGACTCGACAATAGTCTGGTCTATAGACTCGAATATAGTCTGGACTATAGACTCGACTATAGTCTGGTCTATAGACTCGACTATAGTCTGGACTATAGACTCTACTATAGTCTGGTCTATAGACTCGACTATAGTCTGGTCTATAGACTCGACTATAGTCTGGTCTATAGACACGACTATAGTCTGGTCTATACACTCGACTATAGCCTGGTCTATAGCCTCGACTATAGTCTGGACTATAGACTTTATAGAAGTTTTGTTAAAATCTCTTAAAATAATTTTATACAATGATCATTTAATTTGTCAAATAATATTATATTAATCGCTGGAAACTTTTTATAGGACCCCCAGTTAAAACAAGTTTATTATCACTTAAAATAATTATGGAAATGAAAAAATATAATAATAATAAAATGCTAACATTTTTATTGGAATATTTAATTATAACATTGCGCTTGGCTCACATTATCAAAAAAAAAATTTCCCCCCATTGTATTTTTTATAAAAAAAATTATTTTTATTTTAATAAAAACCTTAAACTTTATTGATAGAAAACTGAGATTTTTTTCGCAAAAAATAAAAAGAAATTTATTAAAGATTTGTCATATTTGATAGGTTGTCATGTAGAGTTCCACATATATAATCATTTTTTTATTTTATTATTATACACTTGTTTTAAAGATAATTTCTTTAAATTTTTAAAACATGCGATGCATTGAAAACACTCAACCAGCTCATGTGTTATTGATCACTTTTCTGTTAAAATTTTGTTTGAAATGTTTTATGAAATTTTGAATTCTTTTGAAGTTGTTTTACGAGTACCCAACCGATAATGGACGGTTTTTATATTGTGATGTTTGTCATGATTTTTCTAGTTAATTTACGCAGAAACTATGTGATGAACTTTGGACTTGGACTCCGTAAAATTTTGAAAATTGTGTGTTTTTTAGTTAAAAAAAGCAAATGTAAACAATTTCGTGATTAATATTATTAAAACGTTAAATTGTTATTGGCGTGTTGTGAGAAAAACAAACACGATAGTTTTACAACAAAAAATTATTTGTTTTATAATTTAAAAGATTACAATGAAATTGCGGCTATAATAACTATGTGAACTTTTTAATTAAATTGCTTTTGGACTTCAGTCTGGTCTATAGTCTGGACTATAGTCTGGACTATAGTCTGGACTACAATCTGGACTATAGTCTGGACTATAGTCTGGACTATAGTCTGGTCTATAGTCTGGACTATAGTCTGGTCTATAGTCTGGAGTATAGACCAGACTGAAATCCAAAAGCAATTTAATTAAAAAGTTCACATTAGTTATTTCTGGACCATAGTCTGGACTATAGTCTGGACTAAAGTCTGGACTATAGTCTGGTCTATAGTCTTGTCTATAGTCTGGTCTATAGTCTGGTCTATAGTCTGATCTATAGTCTGGACTATAGTCTGGTATATAGTCTGGACTATAGTCTAGTCTATAGTCAGGACTATAGTCTGTCTATAGTCAGGACTATAGTCTGTCTATAGTCAGGACTATAGTCTGTCTATAGTCAGGACTATAGTCTGTCTATAGTCTAGTCTATAGTCTAGTCTATAGTCTAGTCTATAGTCTAGTCTATAGTCTAGTCTATAGTCTAGTCTCTAGTCTATAGTCTAGTCTATAGTCTAGTCTATAGTCTAGTCTATAGTCTAGTCTATAGTCTAGTCTATAGTCTAGTCTATAGTCTAGTCTATAGTCTAGTCTATAGTCTAGTCTATAGTCTAGTCTATAGTCTAGTCTATAGTCTAGTCTATAGTCTAGTCTATAGTCTAGTCTATAGTCTAGTCTATAGTCTAGTCTATAGTCTAGTCTATAGTCTAGTCTATAGTCTAGTCTATAGTCTAGTCTATAGTCTAGTCTATAGTCTAGTCTATAGTCTAGTCTATAGTCTAGTCTATAGTCTAGTCTAGTCTAGTCTATAGTCTAGTCTATAGTCTAGTCTATAGTCTAGTCTATAGTCTAGTCTATAGTCTAGTCTATAGTCTAGTCTATAGTCTAGTCTATAGTCTAGTCTATAGTCTAGTCTATAGTCTAGTCTATAGTCTAGTCTATAGTCTAGTCTATAGTCTAGTCTATAGTAGTCTATAGTCTAGTCTATAGTCTAGTCTATAGTCTAGTCTATAGTCTAGTCTATAGTCTAGTCTATAGTCTAGTCTATAGTCTAGTCTATAGTCTAGTCTATAGTCTAGTCTATAGTCTAGTCTATAGTCTAGTCTATAGTCTAGTCTATAGTCTAGTCTATAGTCTAGTCTATAGTCTAGTCTATAGTCTAGTCTATGGTCTAGTCTATAGTCTAGTCTATAGTCTAGTCTATAGTCTAGTCTATAGTCTAGTCTATAGTCTAGTCTATAGTCTATTCTATAGTCTAGTCTATAGTCTAGTCTATAGTCTAGTCTATACTAGTCTATAGTCTAGTCTAAGTCTAATATATAGTCTAGTCTATAGTCTAGTCTATAGTCTAGTCTATAGTCTAGTCTATAGTCTAGTCTATAGTCTAGTCTATAGTCTAGTCTATAGTCTAGTCTATAGTCTAGTCTATAGTCTAGTCTATAGTCTAGTCTATAGTCTAGTCTATAGTCTAGTCTATAGTCTAGTCTATAGTCTAGTCTATAGTCTAGTCTATAGTCTAGTCTATAGTCTAGTCTATAGTCTAGTCTATAGTCTAGTCTATAGTCTAGTCTATAGTCTAGTCTATAGTCTAGTCTAGTCTAGTCTATAGTCTAGTCTATAGTCTAGTCTATAGTCTAGTCTATAGTCTAGTCTATAGTCTAGTCTATAGTCTAGTCTATAGTCTAGTCTATAGTCTAGTCTATAGTCTAGTCTATAGTCTAGTCTATAGTCTAGTCTATAGTCTAGTCTATAGTCTAGTCTATAGTCTAGTCTATAGTCTAGTCTATAGTCTAGTCTATAGTCTAGTCTATAGTCTAGTCTATAGTCTAGTCTATAGTCTAGTCTATAGTCTAGTCTATAGTCTAGTCTATAGTCTAGTCTATAGTCTAGTCTATAGTCTAGTCTATAGTCTAGTCTATAGTCTAGTCTATAGTCTAGTCTATAGTCTAGTCTATAGTCTAGTCTATAGTCTAGTCTATAGTCTAGTCTATAGTCTAGTCTATAGTCTAGTCTATAGTCTAGTCTATAGTCTAGTCTATAGTCTAGTCTAGTCTAGTCTACAGTCTAGTCTATAGTCTAGTCTATAGTCTAGTCTATAGTCTAGTCTATAGTCTAGTCTATAGTCTAGTATAGTCTAGTCTATAGTCTAGTCTATAGTCTAGTCTAGTCTATAGTCTAGTCTATAGTCTAGTCTATAGTCTAGTCTATAGTCTAGTCTATAGTCTAGTCTATAGTCTAGTCTATAGTCTAGTCTATAGTCTAGTCTATAGTCTAGTCTATAGTCTAGTCATAGTATAGTCTATAGTCTAGTCTATAGTCTAGTCTATAGTCTAGTCTATAGTCTAGTCTAATCTAGTCTATAGTCTAGTCTATAGTCTAGTCTATAGTCTAGTCTATAGTCTAGTCTATAGTCTAGTCTATAGTCTAGTCTATAGTCTAGTCTATAGTCTAGTCTATAGTCTAGTCTATAGTCTAGTCTATAGTCTAGTCTATAGTCTAGTCTATAGTCTAGTCTATAGTCTAGTCTATAGTCTAGTCTATAGTCTAGTCTATAGTCTAGTCTATAGTCTAGTCTATAGTCTAGTCTATAGTCTAGTCTATAGTCTAGTCTATAGTCTAGTCTATAGTCTACTCTATAGTCTAGTCTATAGTCTAGTCTATAGTCTAGTCTATAGTCTAGTCTATAGTCTAGTCTATAGTCTAGTCTATAGTCTAGTCTATAGTCTAGTCTATAGTCTAGTCTATAGTCTAGTCTATAGTCTAGTCTATATTCTAGTCTATAGTCTAGTCTATAGTCTAGTCTATAGTCTAGTCTATAGTCTAGTCTATTATAGTCTAGTCTATAGTCTAGTCTATAGTCTAGTCTATAGTCTAGTCTATAGTCTAGTCTTCTTAGTCTAGTCTATAGTCTAGCCTAGTCTAGTCTATAGTCTAGTCTATAGTCTAGTCTATAGTCTAGTCTATAGTCTAGTCTATAGTCTAGTCTATAGTCTAGTCTATAGTCTAGTCTATAGTCTGGTCTTTAGTCTAGGTTACAGTCTAGACTATAGACTAGTTCGACTAAACTCTATGATCTTAACTAATCTCCGCCACCTGAATTGCCTTAATCCTTTAAAAGTTTAATGATTGTCTGGCTTAATGATGATCTGGACTATAGTCTGTAGTCTGGACTATAGTCTATAGTCTGGACTATAGTCTATAGTCTGGACTATAGTCTATAGTCTGGACTATAGTCTATAGTCTGGACTATAGTCTATAGTCTGGACTATGGTCTATAGTCTGGACTATAGTCTATAGTCTGGACTATGGTCTATAGTCTGGACTATGGTCTATAGTCGGGTCTATAGTCTGGACTATAGTCGGGTCTATAGTCTGGACTATAGTCGGGGCCTATAGACTGGACTATAGTCTGGTCTATAGTCTGGACTATAGTCTGGACTATAGTCTGGTCTATAGTCTGGACTATAGTCTGGACTGTAGTCTGGTGTATAATATGGACTATAGTCTGGACTATAGACTAGTTTATAGTCTGGTCTTTAGTCTAGGTTATAATCTAGACTATAGACTAGTTTCGACTCAACTCTATGATCTTAACTAATCGCCGCCACCTGAATTGCCTTAATCCTTTAAAAGCTTAATGATTTTTATGTAACAAATTTTATGAATTTTGAAAAAAAAAAACAAACATAAATAAATAAATAAAAATTTAAGCACATTTTGTTACAAATAAAAATATGTGATATTTTTTACAAAGCTAAACTACTAAAAACATTTAATAAATTATAAATTAATAAACAATTATTAATACTTACTGTGCATCATCTTCGATAAACATTTTGTAAAAGTTTTACTTGCGTTTAACTTGTAGTTAAGCTGGGTTTAATTCAACTGGTTTAAAAGCGTTTTAAAGAGTATGGCAACTCTAATAAGCAACTACTCCCGATTACTCTCTCTCTTATTATGTTTATTTTATCCTTTAATGAGTAAAAACGTTTTAGCAAGCAGCACACTGGGTCGTGTTGTAAAAAAATGATGACTAAGGTGATTTTTTTCTAGGTGATTTGATGTTTGTTTTGTTACTCCTTTGGGCCAACAACCGTGATAAATGATTTGTTGTATTTTGTGAGTTTTTCTTTCTTTTTAGAGAGAGTGAGAGAGGTCTATTACTCTGGTAGAAAGTTTTAGTTTTAAATCTAAAAAAATTTATAAAAAAAAAGACAAACAAAAAAACACATAAAGTAATGAATTCATGTAATGAGAGTTTGATTAGACAGATATTTATATATAAAAGAGAGAATTATATACATTGTTCTAAAATGTTTGCGATAAAAAAAGCTTTAATGACAGAATGCATGTGAAAATTATTAACAAATTACAAAATAAAAGCGTTTAAAATTTAAACATATCTAATTTTTTAACAAAAACAAAAATGGGCTTGACAATTCTACAGCAGTACTACGAAACAAACTAAAAAAATTTAGATGATAAGTATGAAATGAGAAAAATATCAAAATTGGAAAGATGTCAATATTATGATAAAATCTGGTTTATAGTCTGGACTATAGTTTAGCCTATAGTCTGAGCAACAGTTTAGTTTATAGTCTGGACTATAGTCTAGTCTATAGTCTGGACTATAGTCTAGTCTATAGTCTCGACTATAGTTTAGTCTATAGTCTGGTCTAGAGATTAGTCTATAGTCTGGACTAGAGATTAGTCTATAGTCTGGACTATAGTTAAGTCTATAGTCTGGACTATAGTTAAGTCTATAGTCTGGACTATAGTTAAGTCTATAGTCTGGACTATAGTTAAGTCTATAGTCTGGACTATAGTTAAGTCTATAGTCTGGACTATAGTTAAGTCTATAGTCTGGACTATGGTTAATTCTATAGTCTGGACTATAGTTAAGTCTATAGTCTGGACTATAGTTAAGTCTATAGTATGGACTATAGTTAAGTCTATAGTATGGACTTTAGTTTAATATATAGTCTGGACTAGTTTAGTTTATTCTATAGTCCAGACTATAGTCTAGTCTATAGTCTAGTCTATAGTCTAGTCTATAGTCTAGTCCTATAGTCTAGTCTATAGTCTAGTCTATAGTCTAGTCTATAGTCTAGCTCTAGTCTAGTCTATAGTCTAGTCATAGTTAGTCTATAGCTAGTCTATATCTAGTCTATAGTCTAGTCTAAGTCTAGTCTATAGTCTAGTCTATAGTCTAGTCTATAGTCTAGTCTATAGTCTAGTCTATAGTCTAGTCTATAGTCTAGTCTATAGTCTAGTCTATAGTCTAGTCTATAGTCTAGTCTATAGTCTAGTCTATAGTCTAGTCTATAGTCTAGTCTATAGTCTAGTCTATAGTCTAGTCTAGTCTATAGTCTAGTCTATAGTCTAGTCTATAGTCTAGTCTATAGTCTAGTCTATAGTCTAGTCTATAGTCTAGTCTATAGTCTAGTCTATAGTCTAGTCTATAGTCTAGTCTATAGTCTAGTCTATAGTCTAGTCTATAGTCTATCTAGTCTATAGTCTAGTCTATAGTTTCTACTAGTCTAGCCTATAGTCTAGTCTATAGTCTAGCCTACAGTCTAGCCTATAGTCTAGTCTATAGTCTAGCCTATAGTCTAGTCTATAGTCTAGTCTATAGTCTAGCCTATTGTCTAGTCTATAGTCTAGTCTATAGTCTAGTCTATAGTCTAGCCTATTGTCTAGTCTATAGTCTAGATTATAGTCTAGTCTATAGTCTAGATTATAGTCTAGTCTAGACTAGTCTATAGTCTAGTCTATAGTCTAGCCTATTGTCTAGTCTATAGTCTAGTCTATAGTCTAGTCTATAGTCTAGCCTATTGTCTAGTCTATAGTCTAGATTATAGTCTAGTCTATAGTCCTAGATTATAGTCTAGTCTAGACTAGACTATAGACTAGACTATAGACTAGACTATAGACTAGACTATAGACTAGACTATAGACTAGACTATAGACAAGACTATAGACTAGACTATAGACTAGACTATAGACTAGACAATAGACTAGACTATAGACTAGACTATAGACTAGACTATAGACTAGACTATAGACTAGACTATAGACTAGACTATAGACTAGACTATAGACTATACTATAGACTAGACTATAGACTAGACTATAGACTAGACTATAGACTATAGTCTATATAAATATTTATAATATTTATATTTATTGTCTAGTCTATAGACTAGACTATAGACTAGACAATAGGCTAGACTATAGACTAGACTATAGACTAGACTATAGGCTAGACTATAGACTAGACTATAGGCTAGACTAATAGACTAGACTAGACTATAGACTAGACTATAGACTAGACTATAGACTAGACTATAGACTAGACTATAGACTAGACTTTAGACTAGACTATAGACTAGACTATAGACTAGACTATAGACTAGACTATAGACTAGACTATAGACTAGACTATAGACTAGACTATAGACTAGACTATAGACTAGACTATAGACTAGACTATAGACTAGACTATAGACTAGACTATAGACTAGACTAAGACTAGACTATAGACTAGACTATAGACTAGACTATAGACTAGACTATAGACTAGACTATAGACTAGACTATAGACTAGACTATAGACTAGACTATAGACTAGACTATAGACTAGACTATAGACTAGACTATAGACTAGACTATAGACTAGACTATAGACTAGACTATAGACTAGACTATAGACTAGACTAGACTAGACTTAGACTAGACTATAGACTAGACTATAGACTAGACTATAGACTAGACTATAGACTAGACTATAGACTAGACTATAGACTAGACTATAGACTAGACTATAGACTAGACTATAGACTAGACTATAGACTAGATATAGACTAGACTATAGACTAGACTATAGACTAGACTATAGACTAGACTATAGACTAGACTATAGACTAGACTATAGACTAGACTATAATAGACTATAGACTAGACTATAGACTAGACTATAGACTAGACTATAGACTAGACTATAGACTAGACTATAGACTAGACTATAGACTAGACTATAGACTAGACTAATAGACTAGACTATAGACTAGACTATAGACTAAGACTATAGACTAGACTATAGACTAGACTATAGACTAGACATAGACTAGACTATAGACTAGACTATAGACTAGACTATAGACTAGACTATAGACTAGACTATAGACTAGACTATAGACTAGACTATGACTAGACTAGAGACTAGACTATAGACTAGACTATAGACTAGACTATAGACTAACTATAGACTAGACTATAGACTAGACTATAGACAGACTATAGACTAGACTATAGACTAGACTATAGACTAGACTATAGACTAGACTATAGACTAGACTATAGACTAGACTATAGACTAGACTATAGACTAGACTATAGACTAGACTATAGACTAGACTATAGACTAGACTATAGACTAGACTATAGACTAGACTATAGACTATACTATAGACTAGACTATAGACTAGACTATAGACTAGACTATAGACTAGACTATAGACTAGACTATAGACTAGACTATAGACTAGACTATAGACTAGACTATAGACTAGACTATAGACTAGACTATAGACTAGACTATAGACTAGACTATAGACTAGACTATAGACTAGACTATAGACTAGACTATAGACTAGACTATAGACTAGACTATAGACTAGACTATAGACTAGACTATAGACTAGACTATAGACTAGACTATAGACTAGACTATAGACTAGACTATAGACTAGACTATAGACTAGACTATAGACTAGACTATAGACTAGACTATAGACTAGACTATAGACTAGACTATAGACTAGACTATAGACTAGACTATAGACTAGACTATAGACTAGACTATAGACTAGACTATAGACTAGACTATAGATAGACTATAGACTAGACTATAGACTAGACTATAGACTAGACTATAGACTAGACTATAGACTAGACTATAGACTAGACTATAGACTAGACTATAGACTAGACTATAGACTAGACTATAGACTAGACTATAGACTAGACTATAGACTAGACTATAGACTAGACTATAGACTAGACTAGACTAGACTATAGACTAGACTATAGACTAGACTATAGACTAGACTATAGACTAACTATAGACTAGACTAGACTAAGACTAGACTATAGACTAGACTATAGACTAGACTATAGACCTAGACTATAGACTAGACTATAGACTAGACTATAGTCTAGACTATAGTCTAGTCTAGTCTAGTCTAGTCTATAGTTTAGTCTATAGTCTAGTCTAAGTCTTGTCTATAGTCAAGTATATAGTCGAGTATATAGTCAAGTCTAATGTGTACTCTACAATCTACCCTAGTCTATAGTCTAGTCTAGCATATAGTCAATAGTCTACGTATAGTCAAATCTAGAATCTAGTCTATAGTTTAGCCTTTATACTAGTCTACAGCCTAGAGTCTAGCCTATATTCATATCTAAAGTCTAATCTATGGTATAGTCTATATATAGTCCAGTCTATAATCTAGTTTTTAATACATAGTCTAGTCTATTGCCTAGTCTGTAATTCAGTCTATAGTAGGGTCTTAAGTATTTTAAATCTAGAGACTACAATTTGAATTAAATCGTATTGTATTCGTTTTCAATTCGTTTAATAATCATATACCCTCACATCGATTAAAAATTAAACTTGTTTAGAAAATATTTTAAATAGCTGTTTGATGAGATCGAGTGTGTAAATTAAATATTGCGTGTTATCGTCAGATATACGATAATTATTTATTAAACAAGTTAAATATACACATGGTATATTTTTCATTGTATTACTAGCAGAGTATCATATTTATTTGTTTTATAAGTTGTGGAACAACATTATACAATGCCGGTAATATTTTTGTTAAACTATGTATCATAATTTCACGATACAAAGTACAAAAGTGTGATTGAAGAGGGATGAAAGGTTTAAGTACTTGTACTTATAAATATTTATATAAAAAGTTTTTAATATAATTTTGGTTTTTTCTTATTGATAATCTTAAAGAGAAAAGTACAAAGTATCAAGAATAAAACAGCTGATTATTTTGGTTTTTGATTTAATAGTTGGCATCACTCTTATAGATACAATTTTGTTTATTATCATATGGCATCACCGAATGTTAAGGTAACCGTTAGTTTTTATTATGTTTACATTGCTATTAAGTGGGAG